CAAACAACTCTTCCACATGATCTAAAAAACCAATCTCTTTTGGAATTTCTGAAAATCATTAAGATATATGCACATTTACATGTTAAACTCATGTTTTATGCACATATAATGGACTGCAACAAAAGCGGAGTCATGTATAACTGTATCACATCAAGGCAATGCAACAAATATATATACCATTGAAATTGTTGAAGTCAAGGTTTGTCCCCTTCAACATTGTTAAGTTCCCTATTTCTCTGGGTCTCGCACCTGTTAAGTATGCCAAACAAAGACTCAGAATACATGTAAATAAATGAAATTAGAAAAAACACCACACTACATATAATTTATAGAAAAGCTGTTAGAGTGGCTATTTTGGAGGGGAAAAAAAACTCTCAACTAGTCACATGGTCACTTTCTAATTGGCTTATTAATATGATACAATTTTTTCACTTGAAGGTACAATATGGAATTTTTCAAGGGTGTTTTTTATACTTATAAAATATCATGTTATAATGGGCCTCTATGTGAAAAAGGTCATAAATATTCCCTATTATTTACAATCTATCATCTATGTCTTTATCCCCTGACGCCCAACTAGTTTTATCATTTGTAGCCTACAACATGTACTCACTAGTTTCATAAATGTAAGTTTTGTAATAACTTACTGAGTATATTAATAAATAGATAAATAAAACCAAAATATCATTTGTAGCCTACAACATGTACTCACTAGTTTTATAAATGTAAGTTTTGTAATAACTTTCTGAGTATATTAATAAATAAATAAATAAAACCAAAATTATAGACTCAACCCTTCTTAAAATTAAAAACCAAATACATAATCTATTCAAGTGAGAGTTTTTGAGTATTGGTTGACCTGCAAGTAAGAAAAAATTAGCATAATTTTCTAAAGAAAAAAGAACACATCAGGCTTATAGATTAATAACAAGATGTAAAACATAACGATAGATCACCAATAGAGTCTAGATAAATTGTTGACACATATGTACCTGATAGTTTGTTAGCCCCTAGATGAAGTACTTGCAATGTAGATAAGTTGAAAATAGTCGTGGGTATAGAACTTGAAAACTGATTGCCATACAAAGAAAACTTCTGAAGTTTGGGGAAGGAACCAAACCACGATGGAATGGATCCATAAAAATGTTGTATCCGAAGCTAATCAACTTAAGGCGACGCAAATAAGACAATGCATGGGGCAAGTACCACGGAAGCTGTTATTTCTGAAGGTTAGTGCAACAAGGAATGAGAGGTTGCCTAAGTGTGGTGGAATGGTGCCGGAGAGTCCCATGTGAGAGAAGTTCAAGACTGAAACTCTGAGGTGGCGAGCGCCACAAGTAACACCAACCCAATTGCAAAAGGAGGTGGTGGTTGACCAGTTGACCAAGATGTTGTGCGGGTCAATAGTGATATGGGATTTGAGAGCAAGTAGAGCAGACTGGTCCGTGGTGATGTTGGCTTGTGCTGTACCTACTGTGCCTACAGAACTGTACTGCAGCTGCAGCACTAGCAAGAAGGTGATTGACAAGAGGAAACAACTTCTCTCCATGACCATGAGCACCGAAAACAGAGAAGTTCCTTCCAACTTCAAATTGTTTTCGTTTGTTTTTCCTTTCCGATTTAGAATTTGGAATCATTGAATAATTTGTTGCAGTGCCAATCACTGAAGGCAAAACAAGTTGCTAAAGAGGCACATGATTGCACCCTCGGGGAAGAAATTCGCAAGTAGCTAAATGCAACGACTTAAGACGGTGGACTTGTAATGAAGGAAGAATGGACAGTTGGGCGTCTTCACAAATGTAGAAGAACTTGCCATACATCTATATATTTCGTCAATCAGATATGGGTGGTCAATCCAATCTCCTCCGCATAATAAGGACCCTTTTGCTTTGATTTTTTTTTTTTTTTCAGAAACAAAGCATATGCACATACATATTCCAGGATAGCAAGCTGGTGGACTAAATTTGCAAGCCGTTAATTGCTCAGACCACGGCCAATTTCCGTTAGTTTTTTGCTTTGTTGGGCTTAGGCCTGTACATACTTGATAATGCTGCCAAAAGGTTGATAGTTCAATGGTAAAAGTATTTATCCGGTTAGTGATTTCAAGTTCAAATATCAATAACACTTAATCCCCTCTCCTTTCCAAATTTTAACAAATAATAATAATAATAATAATAATAATTTGTGTATACGACTAATTTCAGTTTGATCACAAAATATTTTTCAATATTATGTGCATTTCATTTAGCTTTAAATCAAATTGAAAAGTCAAAAACTTGTGTATATTGTGTCTACGGACTCATCTCGACATGTCCTATGCAACAGTACAACTGAAATTCCCAAAGTCTTTCCCGAACAAAAAGTCAACTTTTAAACCATTAAAATAGTCCCGGGGTAAAATCATCTTTTATTTGAATATTTTATTAATTAAAAATTAATTTAGGATTGGGTTATTACATCTTTAATACTAATTTCTTCTTACTTCGGTTAACTTAGATGTCAACATATATATTGAACGTTTATTAGGTGAGTTAATCTGTTATATTCATAATTAACTATCTTCCTCGTTTATTAAAATATGAAATAGTTTTTTTTTTTACCAAACAAACAATAGTATTTTATTAGATCAATTGAAAAAGAACATAGAAAGCCATTTCAATTAACAATATGACTGATATGGGTAGAGTTTCCCTAGTGATTTTACGTTCAAACACCAATGACACCTCACTCTCTCCTTTTCAAATTTTCACAAATAATAATAATAATAGTAATAATTTATGAATGCGACTAATTTCAGTTTGGTCACAAAATATTTTTCAATATTAGGGCATCATTATAAATGTACATTGCATTTAGCTTCATATTAAATTGAAAAGTAAAAAAAATAAAAAATAAATAAAAAATAACTTGTGTATATTAGCCTTTCAAGACACTTTTCTGATGCATGATACACATCCGTTGGCATTATGTACACAGCTGGTAGACAATACTTCCATTCATCTCAACATCTACAAATCCTTATCCACTTTTTTTCTTCTGCTGTTATAAGCAATACCAAAAAAAAAAAAAAATTATGATTCAAATCATTGAAATTGCAACATTGTTTGTCTTTTAAGCGTCACTGCCTTATCTTTTGAAAATTTATCATATTCATTTCATATCTTTTATTTTTCTTTCAAAAATACTCATATACGGATTTCATGAAAGGTTGAATGATGATGAAATATACGGATTTCATGAAATGTTGAATGATGATGAAATATTAGTTAATGTGATAAACTAAATAATTGTACGAATTTCATATTTAGAGTTAAATTGCATTTGTTTTTTTTAACATACAAGTTATATATCTGGCAATTTATTTCAAATATTCAATTATTTGCCTAGAGTTTGGTGACCAAAATAATTGAATTTAAAAATTGTTTTTATGGCTAATGAAATCTAGCCCAGTGAAAAATGACCTTGAAAAATTGTTTTTATTGTTTTTATTTCAAATAATAGCTAGTGGCTTAAAAATTATTTAGACTAACGCATGTATTAAAAAAAGAATGTATATTTTTATGATTTTGTGGTGGTAGCACACTTTTTTCATTTACGCACTTGAATTTTTCATCACGGACAATACCCTCTCCAGGTCCTCCACTCACATGGAGATGGAGTGCAATCATCAAAACCCTGGGAGGCCCAATACTAAAATCTCTTTTTTGGTCAACTTATTTACTACTAATAATAAAGGGTAAAATAAGAAAAGAAATTGCATGTTGAAGATTTTGTAATAGTTGCGTGCCGTATATCTATAAAATCATTACCGACCATCAAGTTGACTTGCTTCACCATCAAGTCATCCACTCATTAACCATTCAATTTCTTGGTTTGACTCTCGTGAGCCGTTCCCCGCCCAAATCAAAATTGTACAGTGTGGCTTAGAAAAGCACGTGACCAATTAAATGTTTGACGGTATAATAGTAAGCCCAATCATCGGTGTAGGATGTCTGATGAGGTTAGGCTGGATTGAGATTGCCTACGTGTGACGCTGTCAGTATCTGTTTAGTATAACACACGTGTTACCCACTAAGTAGCTAAAGATTACTTGGTTGGAAATAAGCTGGTTCTTCTTCTTCTACAGAATGTCAACCTCTTGCATCTCACAACTCATCCAACACACAAAGAATCGTTAAACTTCGTATTTCCCATGTTTATGTTGCGCTGTCAAACATGGAAGTTGCAATTCTCATGCTACCATGTTTTTGTTTCAACATTCAACTTTGAACTTTGAGCAAATTGACATGCCCCTTTTTTCGGTAAATTGTTTGTCTTTCCTTTTCGTTTTTTTGCCACACGAAGGTTTATAGTTGTAACAATAATAGTTACAATCCAACATTCAAGATAAAAGTTTGATTCTTTATTTCTGTTTTTCCGGCAACAACATTAAGGCTTCAAGTAACTAATGTTGAACTAGAAGGCTTGACAATAAGTTAATGATTAAATTAAGGAGGCCTACTTCTCATAAAACAAAATTGTTAAGTAAAACGAAAGTGTCATATTATTTTTGTGGGAATATTTTTGGATCACATGCGATGTGACAAGGGCACTTAACATAAAAATTGACGCTAATTATGTTGTTTAATGAACAATTTGTCACCACTAACATAATAAGGTTAAATCGATGACTAATAAATTAAAAAGAAAATCTTTCCCGAAATAATAAATAAATTTGCAACAACTTTATATTTTATATTGCATGCTTTTCGGATTGTGGGAAACTTGCTAGCAAAAACTTAGCTTTTTTTTTTTTTTTGGTTACCAAAAAACAAAAACAAAAAAAAACCTTAGCTTTTCTATGAACACCATTTACAGAAGATTTTCTTAAACTTGTCGTAAACGTCATATATTGTTATATGAGGCAAACAAAATTAAATACAAAAATAGAAAGAAAAAACTAAGTATTGTATTTGGGAGGAGGTGGAGGGTATATTCTTGTACCATATAGAGAGCATCATTGTCTCCAAAACCAAATAAAACATCTCTCTTTAGTTTCTACACACACCACTTATCAATCATCAAAACAACACCCAACAAACCAAACATCACACCCCAAACTCAACAAAAAGCCCAATAAATCAACCCCAAAAAAAATAAAATTCGATCAAACAATCACAAAAACCCAAATTCACCTGAGAAATCGAGAGAGAGGGCCGTCCCTTCCCGGAGGAATGGCAAACCTCACCACCAAAGCTACCGATAACGGCGTCGCTTCCACCACCACCACCCCTACCAACAAATCCAAAAACATCCCAGCTCCACTTTTGGGACGCTTCGAAATCGGCAAATTGCTTGGCCATGGCACCTTCGCCAAAGTCTACCACGCCAAGAACATCAAAACCAACGAGAGCGTAGCCATCAAAGTCATCGACAAGGAGAAGATCCTCAAGGGCGGCCTAATCGCTCACATCAAACGCGAGATCTCAATTCTCAGGCGCGTTCGCCACCCAAACATCGTGCAGCTTTTCGAGGTCATGGCCACCAAGGCCAAGATCTACTTCGTCATGGAGTACGTTCGCGGTGGCGAGCTCTTCAACAAGGTGGCCAAGGGCCGCCTCAAAGAAGAAGTTGCTAGAAAGTACTTTCAGCAGTTAATCTCAGCCGTCGGATTTTGTCATGCTCGCGGCGTTTACCACCGTGATTTGAAGCCGGAGAACCTCCTCCTCGACGAGAATGGCGATCTCAAGGTCTCTGATTTTGGATTGAGCGCAGTTTCTGATGAGATTAAGCAAGATGGTCTATTTCACACGTTCTGTGGCACGCCGGCTTATGTGGCGCCTGAGGTTTTGGGTCGAAAGGGTTACGATGCTGCAAAGGTCGATATTTGGTCTTGTGGGGTTGTGTTGTTTGTGCTCATGGCTGGATATTTGCCTTTCCATGACCAAAATGTTATGGCTATGTACAAGAAGATCTACAAAGGCGAGTTTCGGTGTCCCAGATGGTTCAGTGCTGAGCTTGTTAGGTTGTTAACTCGTCTGCTTGATATAAATCCTGATACTCGGATTACAATCGCGGAGGTCATGGAGAATCGGTGGTTTAAAAAGGGTTTTAAGCATATCAAGTTTTACATTGATCATGATGACAGGCTTTGCAATGTTGAAGACGATGAGGAGGACAGATTTAGCGATGTGAGCTCGCTTTCTGATCAATCTTGTATGTCAGAATCGGAGGCTGAGTTTGAGACCAGAAGAAAGCTTACATCTTTGCCTAGACCAGCCAGTTTGAATGCATTTGATATAATTTCGTTTTCTGCCGGGTTTGATTTATCTGGGTTGTTTGAGGAGCGCGGTGAGGAGGCGAGATTTGTGTCGGGTGCGCCGGTTTCGACGATCATATCGAAGTTGGAGGAGATTGCTAAAGTTGTGAGCTTTTCAGTGAGGAAGAAGGATTGCAGAGTGAGCTTGGAGGGGTCTAGGGAAGGTGTGAAGGGCCCGTTAACGATTGCCGCTGAGATATTCGAATTGACACCGTCTTTGGTGGTTTTGGAGGTTAAGAAGAAAGCAGGGGACAAAGCAGAGTATGACCAGTTTTGTGACACAGAGTTGAGACCTGGGTTGCAGAATTTGATGATTGAGGAAAGTGCTGCTGCGAATAATGTTCCTCCTTCGTATCTACCTTCAGATACTGAATAGGGAAGAACAGAAAGGGAAATGGGTATGCTTTAATCTCTCTTTGTTTCTTTGTTTTTCTTTTTTTTCTGATTTGCTAAGGCCGCTGTAAAGGTTCATCTTTTATTGATTTTTCCTAGTTTCTTCGGTTGTTTGCTTTTGGGAATTAGGTGAAGCTCTAGATACTGCTCCGTACTGTCTATTCTATTCTTGTATCGAGAAAGCTATAGATTAGATAACAGAGAATGGAATACACATTTCTACTTATCTTGGATTGTTGGTGGTGTGTGTGTGAATGTTTAAGTGTATATGCTTACATTATAATTTTTTATGCTAGAGAAGGTGGAATGTTACTTATTTTCACTATAAAAATCCATATCACACCAGTTACAATAAAGTTCTTCTGCTTTATAATAACATAAATGCAGTAGATTATGATGACATTTGAGGAAGTAAATGTTAAAGAGTTCAGCAAATCCATACTTTCTGACTCCCATTTCTTGTTCTGAGTATATACACGATTTCTGCTTTTAGTGAGTAAATGTTAAAGAGGATGCAAATTTTAGTTAACAAATGTCTTCTTACTGGTGAGCAGAGGTGTTTTGCCCAGACCTTCCCTTATGTAGGTACCTAGTTAGCATACCACCTAATTGAGTAACATTTTGTTGGATTTTCCAATTCCCTCTTTTCTGAATTTGGCACTTCTAGGTGAAACTTTTACTAAATTGGATAAAATGGTGGGAATGGGAAGGATGTTTGGAATTGTAGGAAAATGTTGGAAGGGTACATGTAAGGATCCATGGAAACATTTCACATCATATCTTAGTGTCTGTCCGTTAGCTGCATATTTCCAAATCCATGCCAGGATATGATTTCCTTCACAATTGCATAAATTTGCTCCCAAATCAGTATATCTTTGGACATGAACCCATGGACCACTTTTTGCATTTTTATGGATCATCAAAAGGGGTTTTTTTCTTTGATTGGAATGGGTGGAGAGATACAGAGGACATTGGTGAGAAGAAGGCTTAATCAGATTTTGATTGATGATGTCGTATGAATTTTATACTTGAATTTGAATGAAGGAAGCCGAGGCGACAGAAAAATGGAAATTATTTTATTGACTAAACGACTGGGTGCTCAATTGTTGGTGCACCTACCATTAGCTCCTCACCTTTCTCCTAATTTCTTAAGTCGGCCGCTTGTGACTCGTTTGTTTATATGTGATGGCAACTGCCATATATGTCGATAAATAACTTCTTGTCAGCATTCTCGTTTGGCCAAGTTCTGGGGCATTTTTTTTCATGAGAAGGATAGCACTATTTTGTTATTTCTGGCCAATCGAGGCATGTCACGCGTGATAGTTTTTTCACATGACAGTTTGTGATTGGTTGGGGATAGTAAAACAATGCTATCCATGTTTCATACAAGTTTTTCTGTATTTTCATGGTGCAGAATGAAGGTCCCATTTCTTTCATAATGAAGGTCCCATTTCTTTCATAGAAGTAGCAGACACAAGAAGATTTGCAATCTTTGACAGGAGATTTGGCTCCTTTTGTTTGTCGTTTACAAATATACAGGATATCAAATGCATGGACATATATTTAACCCTGTTAAGAAAATGAATTAAGTAGCTATCAACCAAAGCCCATGCTCTGTAATTTACAGAGAGAATACTATTTCCCAATTAAAAACTAAGTCTGCCAATAATTTGGTTAAAATAAACAATCTAAAAACATTTCTCTCCATAAGATTGGACAAACAGAACAGAAAAAGCTGAAAGTCTATAGAATCTGACAGCCGAAAAGATTAGTTAAAGAGTTGACTGGATCTAATTGCGCATGCGAATCTACTAAGAATGGTAATGAGATGACTAACTGGTGCAGTTTTCCACTTCCGTGACAAAAACAAAAAGCAAATTCCACATGCAAGACGTGTAAAAAAATCATAGGGTCATCGTTGAAAAGAACCAGAGGAGAGGAGATCATTAGGTGAAGTGTAGAAAATTAGAAATGAAGTCGGTTTCGTTGACTTTATGATCAATCGATGATCTGTGTGTTTGGCTTTACAGATGTTCTTCTGAAGGCGTCTTTTTGCCACCTCGATGGCCATCCAACAACAATTCAGGACATGACTGGTAGGTTTTCCCGCTGTCTTGGTCGGTTCTCAGGTGTTCTGTTTCTATCTTCTTCCATTTTGCAACTTATAATCCAATTTTCTTTTTTGGGTTTGTTCAGGATTGGGTGTGGAACATCATTTTCCATGTTTTGTATGTGGACCAATTGAGGGAAATGTAGGATAAGACATGTGGACGGATAAGAAAAGAGTTAGCATAGATCACTAGTTTGAAAATCACTGGAGGACTTTCAGATTTCGTGAAGATATTTCTCATAGCAGTTATTGCTTATATTCTGTATATAAATGAAGGAAAAGCAAGTTATAAAAGTCATTGGGATTGGATTTTTAGTGGGCTAATCTTTTCTTAAATGCAGCCAATCTTTTGTTAAACACTTTTCGCCACCTTATAGGGCAGCATATCACACCAATTAATATTAAAACGAATTATTTGTGATGACAACAATTCTGTTTTACTTGTGATAAAGGGAAAAGATGCCAAGATCTGTCTACTACCGTATGATGCATGCCGTGAGCAACGGGAACGACTTAAATTTGATGGAATCTGTGCTTTGATTGTGAAACCTAATCAAACCCTTCTTGACAATGGTCACCAAACCAGCGCATAGTTACATGGAAAGAAGGAGACTTTCAATGCATATGCATGGATCACATGAAAAGATGAAAATAGGACCAAGTGCATGTTTACAGATGCGTCTCTGTGATTGCCTTTACTTTGCTCATGTTTTAGGAAGGTCATGACCCATCTGTATCGTACGTGCACCGAATAATTTAGTCATTGCATGCCTTAATGATTCTCAATTCTAATTCTATTTAAGCTACAATGCTTGCGGATGAAGATTTTGCTTACCCTTATTGGATATGATAGTACTTCTTATGTGGTTGCTCATTTCCATTATGCACTTTCTGGTGCTTGGAGCTGTCTTGCTTTATTTGCAGGATTCGGTGTGTGTGGGACAAAGACGATGATGGATAGCTAGATTCATAAGCAAATGATACATTTGCTTCTTCACTTCAGAGTGTTACTGTGAATTCAAAGGAAAAATAGATTAGTCTAAAGCTTTCACTTTAAATATGTTATTGAATATCCTAAATTTGCCCTTTTGGGGGGCTACCAGTGGTCTATCTGCCCTTGATCATTCTGGCTACCACATTTTGCAGCATCTCGTTTACAGAATTTTCGAGCCATCCTGTACCGCACTCTGTCTTGAAGTTGTGCACAAGACTAACAATACCCCTCACTACATTTAGATCTCAAATTCAAAAGAACTCCAAAAGTGGATAAATAAAAAAAGACCTGAAAGCATAAGAAAATAAAGATGAAAAAGCACGGAAGACATCTTTTAGCATCTAGTTTTAGATAGAAAATATGCACTTCCTATTTAAGAAACAATTTCTGGTGCTACTGGCTGTTGCTCATGCTTCTGTTCACTTCCTTGCCAAGTCCATACTATGTCCTGAAGAGAGGGCTTTAAGTCATGGTCACAGAACTCCATGTATTCTAATGTGTCCCCAGCCGTTTTCTTCATCTCTACAACATAAAATGAAGGCGTGACCTCAAAAATTTCAGCATCGATACCAAGCTGCCCTTTCCTTCCTTCCTTGCTGCCCTGCAATTTCAGGGTCCCATCTTTCTTCATGCATTTGAATCTCTCGGTCTCTGCTATCGCTTCAAATTTTGAAACAATTGTTGCGGCTGGTTTTGTGCTGGTGAATCTTGCCTGTGGTCTGTGCTGCATGTCATTCTCAAACAAACCGGATAGATCAAAACCTGGCGATAGAGAGATGATGTCAAAGGCATTGAAACAAGTTGGCCTCATGGGGCTTGTTCCTGCCGTGTTCGTTTTCTTGTGGGAACTGCCTTCTGCAGACTCATCTGTTGTTGTTGATGCAAAAGCTGCCTGGACATCACGCAGGATGGAGGCGTTGGGATCAGGAGGCGGCAAAGGTGCTTCAACAAGTTTAAACCCTTTCTTGAACCAACTGTTCTCCGTGATCTTGTCCACGCTTACTCTTGTGTTTGGATTAGGATCAAGAATCCTCGAAAGAAGCTTGCGAACCTCTGGAGGAAACCATTGCGGACTTTTGAAATCTCCTTTGCTGATTTTCCTGTACATTTCCATGAGATTGGTATCATGGAAAGGCAGAAAACCAGCCAACAGAACATAAAGGACAACCCCACAAGACCATGTATCAGCCTTGGCACCATCATAACCTTTCTTGTTTATCACCTCTGGTGCTACATATGCAGGAGTTCCACATGTTGTGTGGAGCAGGCCATCTTGTCCCCTTGACTCCCATAATGCGCTCAATCCGAAATCCGAAACTTTAAGGTTACCATTCTCATCAACCAAGAGATTCTCTGGCTTGATGTCGCGGTGGTAGACGCCTCTGCTATGGCAGTAATCAACAGCCCCAACCAACTGCTGAAAGTATTTTCGGGCCACGTCTTCCTTGAGCTTCCCCTTGGCAACCTTGTTGAAAAGCTCCCCACCTCTCACATACTCCATGGCAAAATAAATCTTGGTCTTGCTGGCCATGACTTCAAAGAGCTGAACCACATTGGGGTGCCTCACAAGGCGCATCACAGAGATTTCTCTCTTGATTTGATCAATCAATCCCACCTGTTGCACCTTCTCCTTGTCGATGACCTTAATCGCGACGCTCTGGCCGGACCTCAGATTTCGGGCATGGTAAACCTTGGCGAAGGTCCCTTGTCCAAGCAATCGTCCCAGCTCGTATTTATTCATCAATATGTTTCCCTTCTTTTTCTCCATTTTTGCTTTTGTGGCTTTTTCTGAAAACCCTGCCTCAATTTCCACCACAGAAACAGCTGATGGTGAAGATGAAACAAGATCAATACTATATGTACATGCAATCAAGAACTTAGCAGCTTGATTGCAGCAGTTTATATACACATGCTCATATCCAACGAAAATTATGTTGTGAAGTGGAGGAAAGCAAGGACCGGGGACACAAGGAATTTCAACTCATGCATGCCGAAAGGCAGGATGAGGAAAATCCCTTGTGAAATGCAATCAAAGCACGAGGAACTTAACCCATGCCAAAAGGCTGCATGCTGCCGACAACCCTTGTTCAAGGACAGAATGCTCGGCCAACATCCTTGTTTCTGCTCCCAAAAATCACGTCTCTTAATAGAGACTCTAATTCCAATTCAGCTATTTGTGCAAAAATAGTAAAGAAAAGTTTGGTTGCTCTCTCTGCCTTGTACTAAAGGACTGGTCGTCATTTAGGCTCCTATGTATAGTAACAGACAGTTGGAGAAATTACTATAATAAGAAAATGAGATGAAGGATAATCATTCCCACTTTTCGTTTAATCAAATCGTTTACGATTGGATAAGAGCACTTGCTCCGTCTAAAATACAATATGCCCAACTGAAACGTTGTTAGGACGGCTCTAATTTCTTCAGAAACAGATTGACAGAGAAGCATGCTCAATCAGGTTGTGGACATACACATTGGACCACAATGCTCCCTCATGAACTCATGCCAAGAAGGATATCCACGTGGGTGCCGTGTGGGAATGTTGTCTGTGGCCCATATGGTCTAGTATTGGCCACATATCTGATATTGTGGAAAAAGAAGAAGGGAGGTGGTTGGTGGTGGTGGATTGCAAAAGTTGGTCCATTCATAGAGTGGCGCCAAATGAAGTGGAGCTCGAGGTCCACAATCTAATCCTCAGTAGGGTTTGTTTCCGGCCAAAAGACTCAATTTTGTGGATGACAAGCAAGTTCGCATTTTTTACATTTTCTAGAATCTAAACACACTTCAATAATTTAAAGATTGTCCAGAGTTTAGATGCTTAAAATGGTTGATGCCCAAAAAACGGATTAGTGATCTTTGGACTTTCTTTGTACAATTTGCGTGATATCAAGAGAGGTCAGCCAATGATCTGATGATAAAGTTATTTAGATGCAAAGTCACTAAAAATGTAGAAGGCAAATGCAAAGGAACACTAGTGGTTTGGAGCAAATGCTCTTACAGAAAAGATCTGAGTTCGAGTTCTAGCATCCGTGTAATCTGTAGTGTGTGTGAGTGTAGTATGAAATCGCCCCTTTCAAAAGAAAAAGTCTTTTAAAAATAAAATAAAAAATTAATGTAGAAGGTTTATTTTATTATTACATGCAGTCACTAAAAATGAATACCCAAAAATCCATACCAAAATTAATCTTCCAGATTTTCCCTCCCAAGCTTTTGGTCTCTGTTCCTGCCCCACTTATGCACACACAAGTGAAGCTTCTTACTTGCCACCAGAAAATCAACAGCCTGAAGAGGTGTCAATATGTTCACAAGCTCTTTGACAGTGCTTTGGCTCAAACCCTTTGCAATCATTGCAATTGGCTGGTCTGCTATGTCCTCTTGCAGAGCTGCCAGCTCCCCTGTCAACCTCTCCTCCTCTCTAATGGTCTTGCTCTGCAAACTGTTGACCACAACGAGCTGCGAGCACGTCAGAACCTCACCAAGGCCGCCTTCTCTTGTGTCTTGGAGGAACTCAGAGAGCTTTGACTCCATTTTTGACCCGCCAAGCACATAAACGAGCCTGAAAAACAAAGAGGGTCTGCAGCCAGCGATCCAAAGCAGAGAGTTTTCCCATGAAGTGCACCAAATAGGGGCAAAGAAGGCAGAGACGTCTCTGCGGGCAAGTTGGGTTCTCGTGTTTATGTAATCTTAGAAGTGACAGATGCCTTTCTCTGCTAAATGTTTTAACTGGTCTTTGTTTTGGGGGTCTAGTTTCAGGGCTTGGAGGAGCTCTGAGAGGTCCTGTTCTTGAAGCCCCATCCACTCTTTAAAGCAACATTTGGATTGCTCTCTGTCTCTGCTTGCCATTTGAGATGCTGAGTTGAAATGGTAAGCACAAAGCCCTATCAACATGCTAATTGCTTAACAAGAAGGCAAGGAATTGTAACCAAAAAAAAAAAAGGAGGCAAGGAATTGAAGCGGTGTAAAATGTTTGTTTATTTGGAGGACACGTAGAAGGTGATGACAAATCTCACCACCTGCTTTATTTATTTATTTATTTTTGGTGTCAGCTTTGCCCTGATCAGCTCACGTGACCCAGCTGAAGAGAGGAGGGAGGAGGGCAGATCCTAGTTCATAATTGAGAACCTAAACCTATTGAGTTTGGTATCTGTGTTCTTTGTGGGAACTGTTGGAAGCAATCCATGGACTTAATTTGGGCATCACATGTTTTCTGCAGAATTTTTTTCTGCCCAAGTTAAATTATGCTAAGTTATCCAAAGGGCAATATAATCCAACTCATTAGAAACTAAAAGTAGCAACTCTCTCTGAAACTTCTGTTTTACAAAACAGAGCTTTAACAGTCCTCTCCGACAAACAGCAGCATCCTGTATGCAATATTATGTTTTTCACTTAGCAAAATATGATTAAACAATTAATTCCACTACTATTAAGTCCACATGTGAGATGTAATACTTTTTTGCATTCTGTGCGTAGTTTGTGAAAACCAGATTATTGAAGAACTAAATCTTTTAAATGTGAATCTAATTCATCCTCATAGTAGGTTTCACACAAATGGTGCCTCAACTCATGACGGCAGAGTCAACCAGGGAGGGCATATGTCGGAGAATAAAAACTTATCTGAAACAGGAATACTACTGTTTTTGTTTTGTTATTTTCAACCAATTACGATATGCTAAGTGAAAAAATTATCAAGCGTGACATACCGTAATAGCAAAACAGTGTTATTCTCGTTCTACACAAGTGTCTCATGTCGGAGGACCTGTCAATCATATTTGAACAAAGGCTTAGCCATGCTCCACGTTGAACCCAGATTCATTCCCAAGCTGACACGTTTTGTCAACACAAGCTCAAGCACCAGGTGGTAGCTTTGCATGTCTCTTAAGCACACCCAAACGCTACAAAGTTTCATTCAACGAAAAACAGAGGAAAAAAACAAAGGCAAGGCAAAATACTCATGTCCTTCTCTGCTCCTTCCTCTTAGCATCCGCAAAGCGTCAAATAGCACTTATAAACCCACTAGTGGCTGATTGCTGCGCGTAGCTCATGCACCAGCCACGCACTTCCCAACCTCACCACCGCAGCATCACCGTGGCCCCCCCTCCTCTCTCCATCTGGTCACCCCACTCACCCTCTTGTGCATATATACATCACCAACACCAACACCAACCCCAACCCCAACTCTCCAAGACCGTCACTTTGGCATTTTCACAAACACCTCTTGTGTCCTCTCCCTAATTTGAGCAGATTAATGAGAACCCAGGTTGAAGAGAGGTTCTCTGAGTTTTTTGAGAAGTGGGTTTGTCAGCTTGAGCAGCTCCAGCAACAGCTTCTCAAGCTGTCTGAGGAGACACTGCAAAATGAGGCAGAGCTACAAGCTTTGGTGTCGAAAGTCACCTACCTACACAAGGAATATTACACTGTGAAATGGGCTGCTGCTCGTGAAGATGTCCTGGCCTTCTTTTGCCCTGTTTGGTCGAGCCCTTTAGAGAATGCTTATAATTGGGTCACTGGTTGGAAGCCTTCAATGCTGTTTCAGCTCATTGGGTCGCTGAGGAAGACGAGGCTGGTGAACATGTCGGAGGAGCAGCTGAAGAAGATTGAGGAGCTGAGGCTGAAGATGAGGTGTGAGGAGGAGAAGGTGGAGAGGGAAATGGAGAGGCAGCAGGTGGCCATGGCGGACCGGAAGATGGTCGAGTTGGCCCGGTTGGCGAGCCGGGTGAGGAACGGCGGCGAGGTGGTGGAGGTGGAGGTGGAAGGGTTAGTGGATGTGGCATTGAAGGTGATGTTGAGTGGGTTGGAGAGGGTGATGAAGGCTGCAGATTGTGTGAGGCTCAAGACATTGAAGGGTGTTTTGGATGCGCTGAGCCCATTGCAGTGTGTGGAGTTCTTGGCTGCTACTTGCATGGTTCAGATTAGGCTAAGGCAATGGGGGAGGAAAAAATGTGACCAAAATGCTCTCCTAAACCATTAGCTGGTTTTTTGTTTAGGAATTAGAGAGTGTGGATCCTAATTTTACCTTGTTATGTGTTTTACAATTTTGAACAGGAAAATACATGATCCACATTAGGCTTCACCAAATTGAAATCATTTCTTGAAGAGAAAATGAAACTCATTGTTTGTTTGTTTGTTTGCATGCCTCTCTCAGTTATAATATTTTTGTTTGGGTAACAATCAACAGCAGCTTCTGAGTTTGAACTAGTGCTCTGCTGCATTAGCATATGGTGGATCAGTACTGTAAAACACATGAATAATTGGAAACTGCAACAAGCTTCAAAACCTATGTATAATATAAGGTTCACAAATTTATAATTAAGCACAGGCGCCGATCCAAGCGCCATGTTAGTTTTACATTCACACTTTGATCAGAAAATACATATTTGTGTATATCTGGTATAAATTAAGTTAGGACACAAGAGCACTCCAGCAGTAAAAGAATAGCACTTTGTTATGTAACAGAAAGAATGAGAATGTAATGAATCATAAGGACACATATAAAAGACAAAAAGGGATTTGTATACAAGCATGAAGTATGTATGGGGAAGGACTTAGCTATGCAGGGGGAGGAGCAGAGAGTTAAAACTTAAAAAGCTACTTTTCAGCTTCTTTTTTCTTCTTTTTTTTTTTTTTTTTTTAAAACATATAATTTGATACAAAGAGAGAGACATGGACTTTGGCGTACAATAACACAGACACAGAGAAGAGAGTCAAGAGGAGAGAGCTTTTAGGTTGCCTCTACAGATAAGATCTCGAGTTCAGCCCACCAGAGGGGAGATAGTCTGGGGACTGCTTGGTTGGGAGTGATGGGGATCACTTCCCTCAGTTTAGCGGTAATGTCCTTCATTGGTGGCCTCTGCCGAGGATCTTGATTTATGCAATCTTTGACGACCTCACATAGGACATCGAGCTCGTCATTTTTGAAGGACTTGAGGGTTGGATCTACCATGTTGCTTCTATTCTCATTTAGATATGCAGAAGCCTGGCAAAGTTGACAATGAGTTGATGCTACAACTTAACGCAAACAAAAGAACATAATGCAGAATTACTTTATGTTCAATGCTTACCCAGTACGAAAGGGACCCTACTTCTTCTGAGTTTTGGAGCTTTCCAGAAATTATTTCAAGTAACAATAATCCAAAACTGTAGACATTTGTTTCTGGATCAGAGAGGGGTGGCAATTCAGAATGCTCCTTATCGTCATCACTGGAATTCTTATGCTTTCCGCCTGTTGTTTCTGTCCAGAAACAGATCTCTGCAATCTGTGGGGGAGAGAGTGAGAGAGAGCTATTGTTATAAGGGTAAAGTACTAAAATTTCAAATTGAACAAGGGCAGTCAGAAGGGTGTATGAACCTTAGCAGCATAATCATCCGTTAAAAAGATAGAAGATGAATTCAGGTTAGGATGTGCCACAGGTGGATTTAGCTCTTCGTGCATATATTGAAGACAATAAGCTGTTCCCATAATGATCCTAACCCTTGCATTCCAATCAAGGTGTTCCATTTCTTCAACTGTAAAAAAAACAAAATTAATACATGTTACCCTCTAAATTTCAGGCAGCTAGTAATTAACTAAAGAAGCCTCCTCCAATGTGCAGTGCAAAAGTAAGAACCTTACCATGCAGATGCTCAAAGAGATTTCCATTTGGAGCATACTCAAACACCATCATCCTCGTAAATGGTTCATCCTCCTCACAGTAGCCAATGAGATTGACAAAGTTTTTATGATTCACGCGTGACAGTACGTCAATCTACAGCAGGTGGGAAATGGCATAATATTATAAGAATTTAGAAGGAATAAATTAATTAATTATATATATATATATATATATATGCATATATACACTGCCTTGATCGCTGTCTTTAGTAACTGACATAACATACCTTTTTTCGGTAAGCATTCTCTGCACGCTTGGACCACTCTTTCAAAGAAAACATTGTTGTTGATGCAACAGCAATCTCAACTCCACTGGACAGTGTTCCCTTATACACAATACACCCATCAATTGTGCTAATAATATTGCTGAAATCTTCACAGGCGGTTTCCAGTTCTGATCGGTTCAACTTGGGAACTCCTGCAACTCATATAAAGAAATTATTCAGGTTTCAATACAGGACTTCAAAGTCTATACAGAAGGCTGTCAATATATTGACAAGAATGACATCAGTAGTTATTTTTTCAATAACCCCATCATGTATTGCATGGCACTAAAACTCAAAGAATGCATTTAGGCGTGTACTGAAGATTTCTTCAGTAACCAAACAGCTAATATAACAAAATAGATAGTACAATCTAATTTTCCTACTCACTTAGATAACAGAACGTCTGGTTTACTTCTCTTACATTGTTATGCAAAAACCACTACAGGAAACAAATATTTGGACCCAACCAAATTTTTTTGTGTGCTTATAACCTTTTAATTTTCTCTTTTCTTCTGGGTTTATTGGTTAGTCTTTCGATGGACTAGATAATAGAACTTTTGTTTCCTATTACACCACAAAATTACCTGTTATAAATGCTTTCTGCAATTGCCCACTCAATCCAGTCTTCCAAGGACCTATGGTTTTAACTGCTTGGCTTCGACACATGAAGACCATGGCTATAAGAACAATGAGCAAGATAAGCACACTAAAAGAAATGATGATGTATTTCCATATATTTCCATTTGATTTTTGGGAAGATTGTCCACTAGGTTTTGAATTCTCATGTGATGGAGGATCAAGAGATGGAGGCTGCGGTGCAGGTGCAGGTGGAGGAGAATTTTTCTTTTTCTCTTTTGGCACAGCTGGGAAAGAGCCACTACTTCGGGTAGTTGGTAGAGCAATGATCTGTCCAGAAGGTACCGTACCAA